TGTCCTTTGCGTGTCGCCTCGTTCTTTTGGATCTTGCGCAGTGCACCTTCGAGGGCCGTGGGAATTGGTCGAGGATGTGCAATGGTCACGCCACGCAGGCGATAGGCTCGGGCGGGTCGCTGGGGACGGGAGAGTCAAACTTACGTGCTGCTCAATGCTCTCTTACTTTCCCGACCGTTGTTTTGTCAATGGACCGCAACTCAATCGATGATGGCGAGATAAATTGCAATTACGATGGAAACGATACCAAGTTGCCGCGACAGCAGTCAATGGAGGAAGGCTGGGAAAATAGGCAGGGGAGAAGTGAAGGATTTCCGCTTGCTGCTCTGCTCGCGGGAGGGTGTGAGCCGGGAAGTCGAGGGAAGGGGAAGAGAGACCTGAAGTGGGTGGGCTGCTTCTGTTAATGTGAGGAACTCGGAGCATGCACTGCTGAATTTCGGGGCGGGGGGGGAAAGAGTGGGCAATCCAGCCCTCATTGACCAATCGCAAGGCCTGGAGCTTGCAGATAGGTGGGTCCAGTGATCCCTGAGCAACACCCCAGCCCGGACATGGGCGCTGTAACCCCCCAGGGACACTGCTCTGAGAGTGCACCTAGGCTCTGCAGTCGTCTCCGGGCTCCTCCTCCTTTTCATGCAGCCGCAACACTAACCAGGTAACGCGTACGGGTAGCTCAGGAGTGACAGCCAGGTACGGCCGGTCTACGTAGCAGCGGCGCCCAGAAGGTTCGCTAGTGCAGAGGAATACATGGAGAATGTGGACAAGAAGTTACTCTGTGTTTCAGGTTTGCTTGGGATTTCTTTTGCATCTGACCTTGGGTAGGGTATATACTGTATATCTATATGTGCAAGGCAATTAAAGACAGAACGCAGCCCCTTTATTCGTCCTGGCCTGCAATCCTACGGGTTCGAGCGACGTTATGTACGTGCAGTGTCAGTGCAGCCCGCGGCGTTGCCAGGATATCGGAGAGCGCACAGAATGACCAAACGATTTCCAATCAACAACCTGACCAACCAGTCACACTCACTCCCGTCCTTCTCCCACTCGGCACAACGTGCGACTTCGCCAGACCAAGTCCACTGTTCTAGAAGGGTGGCTGGGCTGGGCAAAGCGGACGGGCGGGCGGGCAATCAGTTGGCCCTCGTCGTTCCTTCCTTCCCCGCACGCATCCATAACGTATCAATCTGCCCACCGCTACTTCAGCACAAAGCTGAAAGCTGGAAATCTGCTGGCGGCGACGATCGCTCGATCATCTCACAAACGGTCCCGTCCGATATGATTTCCGACGGCTTTCGTCATTTTCCATGGAGGGGCACAGACACAGACACAACAGTCACAGACTCAGCCAGACTGACGGACAGCCCGTAATGTGGACACGATCAATGGATCGCTAGCCGGTATGGTTTGTAAACGTACGTAGTACCTACCTGAGCTGGGGATATCGTTGGGGGCACCTCAGCTTGAAACCTAGCCCTCCGTCTGGTCTTCTCCTTCGGGTCCCATGCTCTAATTCCTCTTTAAAGGAGAGGGCGATGCCCATGGCGAATTCCCATTCATCCACTTCATCCGCCTCAACCACCCGACACCCAGAGACTTCCAAAGATCGGTGCAGTCCTGCGGGCAATTCGTGATCGACGCCAGCCCGCTCGGAACTTGCACAGGGTCCACTTTTCTTTTGACAGGCGGGAAAGGCGCGCGTCGACCGGGCCGTCGCTGGCTGCTGGCAACCCCCGACAGAGATAGACTCGCAGAGTCCCGAAAAGGCAGATGGTCGATCAGGTACAATCGGCAATCGCTCAGGGTCAGGTAGGTTACCTGATGTGCGGGTCGCGCTCGCAACCGACATGGCAGGTTGAGACGTTGAGTGAACGGCGAGGGCTTTCAGGTTTGTTTTGGGCCTTGTTAGGGGTACCTATACATTCAGGTACAGTATGTATAGGAAACAAGGCTACCTGTAATCCGTAAGGTATGGACCTAGCGCGAGTTGCTCGGGTTTGAAACGAACCTGGACAAGAGAACTCTTCCAAGCCATTTCTTGACCTACATGTACATCCAAGTCGGAACAAGCTCGACGGGAGCGCCGCTGCCCTGTGCCATCAAACGCCTCCATCTGGTGCCGCACGCGGCCGCGAACAAATCAAGACTGCAGACGGCTCTAGTTTACAGTAGCAGCACTTTGGAAATCTCACTCAAGAACAAGAAGCAGGGGACGAGATCCAACGCCGCGTATGTCAGTCAATGTGAACCACAGGCCAGCCATTCTTCCGCCAAGCCTCATCCAGTCGCCCCCCTCCTCCTCCAGACCCCTGGTGGTGATTTCGTGATTTCATGATTTTCATGCCTTCCCTGGGACAAGGTCAAGGACATCAGAGAGCTCAGACCATGGTTCCCTTCCCACACCTCTCCCCTTCTTGGAAAAAACGCTGTGTAAGCAAGGTAGCAAGGTGAAGAAGCCACCACCACTCGTTGATGAGATGAATCGCTATCCGTGCGTTGTTGGTGACGAAGATCAGTTCGAACACAACGTTTGAAACGTCGATATTATTAGCCGGCACTCGCCTCGCAATGCCGAGCTCCCTGCACCTTAATCCGTGCCGGTCTCACCTGGTATACTCTGACCAAGAGGGTCGTGTAGAATAACTGAAAAAATGACCTCTAAAAAGACGTTTGGTCCGCCAGATCGAAGAACGGCGCAGCATCATCTGCATCTGCAACGGCCTGGTTCTGGCGCCGCACCTGAACCCGGCGGCTACACGGGTTACGGGATAACTGTCTCCCCTTCTTCACCTTTCTTGGTGTCGCCGGTCGTCAGCCCAATATCATCATGCATTGTTCTTTCTACTTGCTGATGATACTGGACGAGCCGTGTGTGGTACACCGTACAGCATGGAAAAGCAGCAATTGTCATGTGCAATTGAAAGATACACTACGGGTTTATGGGTGGCAGTTCAGACAGACCTGGAGATGTTATCTCAGCCCGCATGGTCCATCCATCCTCCTTCATTGGATGTGAGGTGTTCTGGATGCCGGTTTCCGGCGGGTTCGTTCATTCAACTAAAACCCGTAGCCTCGCCAGGGTTTTTGCCTGGGGCGCTGTGCTAGCGCTGCAGGAGATCCCAGAACATTACCCGTGCGACAGCATCACATCTCACCGTCTTTGCGGAGAGGAGAGAGAGACAGAGAGTCCAGAAGCCAGATGGAAGAAGCAACGGCGCAAAGATGCAAAGATGCAAAACTAGCATTGACAAGACACAAAGGCCACTTGACAGAGAACCCGCACTGTTCGAAGTATGTTTACAGGATGGGCCTATCAATCCAACACTCACCCGCCCGCTCAAACCAGTTTGTGTTCATGCAGACCTCAAGATCCAGGACGCTGGGTGGCCTATTGCATGTGCAGCAGCTGCCAGCGCCAAGCGTGTTCGCACGCAGTACCCGTCTTCGTGCAGCACCTGCCCCCCCCGCTTCCCTATGCACTACTGTAGGTCCCCCCAATCGCGCTTCGTCGACAAAGAGGCAAGCCCGGGTGGAGCTGCGAGTCTTGAAATTGTCGGTAATCTCACCACGCCCATTCTGGCGTGATGTCGAATCTAGCTGGGCGCCGCTATTCAGGTACCAGATGCGGCGCCGGTGGAGCCGGGTGAAATTTGTTGCTCGTTGGTGGTGACATCGGTCCCCCAGCTGCCCGGCCGGCGGTTGCAACGCTGCTGCACGCACCACCTAAACTGAGAAAAGACGGGTTAGCCAAGCCCACCCGACATCCAGGTTGCTTTTCCAGCTTCGAATTAGAGTGCATCCCGAACGCCCACCCACCCCCATAAACTGGAAGCCCGCTTTTTGTCGACATCAACGGATCTCCACACGGTTTGTTTACTCTGCGAGTAGTGAAAACCTTGGCTCCGCTGCTGCCACGTTTTTTCTCTGTTTCTCGTTTATGATAGGGGCGTTCGGTTCATCCACATGAGATGAGAGATTGAGGCTCTCGAAACAACTGTCCCCGTCCTCCACGCAAGCTTAACCCGCATGGCGGCGGGAAGAGAGAGACAAACGCACGTAATTATGCACGACACTAGAACAGCACACAGCACCACCACAGCACGCATACTACGTACACTAACTAACTAGCCTTTACGCATATGATGCGCAGGAAGCAGCCAGCCAGCCAGCCAGCCAGCCAGCCAGCCAGCCAAGCCTCTGGGCCACAGTTGACGCTCACACGCTGTGTGTGTTCCGGGAGATGCATTCCCGAGATCTCTCTTGCACCTTCAACTAAGGCGACACTAAAACTTTGCCCCTACACTACACTAGCGGTATAGCCACGCTAGCGCAAATAAGACTTGCAGGTGGGTGTGCTGTCGGCGTCGCAAAGCCAACCAGCCAACCAACCAACCCAACCGCGGCGGCCGCACCCGACGGGCGACACACGCACGCACGCAACGCAAAACCCGGGAAGGAAAAAAAAAAACCAAGAGAAGAAAGAGGAAGAAAAAGGGGAAGCCGATGGACGCTAGGATGGAAACGGCGATGTTCTAGAAGCACTGGGTAATCAATGGAGCTCAGGGGTCTGGGTTCTGTCTGTTGATGCTAAATAGACGAGAACGACGGGTCCGGGAAGTGGGAACTGCCCAGCAACCTGCAAGCAAAGCAATCGTTCTGCTGCACCCATCAGATCATGGTAAAAGTTCAAGTCAAGCCCAGACAGACATGTGAGTGAGTGAGTGAGCGATAAAAGCTGCCGAGTCAAGAATACCTATAGTTTCTAGCGTTTTGCCAGTGCGCGCGCATGTTGATTTTAGTTAGCACCCAGACCGTCAGGTAATTATCCACGAAGTGGAGAGACAGAGATGGTATCCATCGCATCGCATCGCATAAGTTGCCCCTTTCCCCTCCTCCCATCCCCGCAGATAAGTGCCACATTTCGCACCCACCCGCCCGCCCTCTATAACGCCTCTCCACCAACCTCCACAACAGCAACCCACGAGATCCAGCATCTCGGAAAAACAGGGCAATTGGTCTAGGGGTATGATTTTCGCTTCGCATCTTCATTCTCCACAGAGTTGCTTATGTGAAAGGTCACCGGTTCGAATCCGGTATTGTCCAATCATCTCTTACTTTTTTTGCTCTCTTTGATCGACATGTCCGATGACAACTCAGATTCACTCTGGTTTTTTTTTGGGGGGGGGGATATCGTAAGCGAACAATGGCCATGTTTCTTTCTTTTTTCTTTCTTTCTTCCTCACGGAGAGACCTATTTTTTTTAGAAGAGCATTCTTGGAAATAACTTTTCTCCCAAAAACCCATTACGATATTCATCATCTATTTCACCGTGTTGAAGACGGATCACGAGTGCATACCTGTGCCGTTGTGCTTGCAGCGAGCTTCCGGGAGTATTGGAGGAAAGGGGGCAACAAAACAAAACAAAACTCTACATTGGTTGCTTACGTTACGTTACCCCTGTGCCAAAAATCCTAACCTAAATAAATAAACAAAGGCCCCTTGTAATGTAGGTGAGGTAATCATAAAATGAGATAGTTTCAACCATGTCAGTTGCGCTCTTGGATAGATAGGTACCTAATTAACACTGCTCTCCTGTCTGTCTACATGTCTCACCAAAGCACTCACGATCGTTTTTTAAGCAGCGATGGATGGATGAGCTTAACGACCAATTGAGCGAAGCTCCTCCGACTGGTACGTCCGTCCGCTCATGCTCTTCCATATCGGCGAATCCATTTTTGTACCCCATCTATCTATCATATTACTCCCCAGTGCCGCATTGTTACCCTGAACTATCTACCAGGTACATATTCACGGTCTGTCTTGGAAGCAAGGTCAGGTAGGCAGAGTAGCAACTTGTTTCCGTCGTGGTATATCTATCTCCCAGGCTACATACATACATACATATCTCCCTGTATCATATATCCCTCTTACTATCTATCTGATCCAATATCCCTCTCACCATCTATCCTATCCATCATCCCACCCCGTTCCTCCTCCGTCTTGGATATATTATCTCTCCCCGTCTGTATATATGTATATGTGTATGTACTATCCGGATATCCTGTAATTATATGCGAATAGTTCTTGTTAAAGGAAAGCCAACGCTTGACAGAAAAGAAAGAGAGAAGATACGAGAGAAGCTAAGCTGTTGCTGTTTGCTTCCCAAGTTCCCAAGTGAATGAAACCTCCGCAGGTCTGTCTGCCTGTCTGTCTGCCTGGCTGTCTGTCTCCATCTGATGGGCAGTGAATAAAGATTCCACCCCTCTTCCCCCCTTTTTGTTCCTTTTATTTGCTGTCTTTTTCCCTCCCAGCCAACCAACCAACTAGGTAAGCAGAATAAATCTTCATATCATCTAAACAAGCAAGCCTCCCAATCCTCCAACCGCGTGCCCCTGAAAAACTCCCCTTTCGATGTAAAACCCCGTCGGAGGCCAAGATCTGAAAACCTCGACTCCCCCTCCCTCCCAAAAAAAAAAAAAAAAACCAGAAATTAGCTATCCAGTTAATTACGTCTCCCCAATGGATATTATAGAGGTCAAGGTTTTCAAGACCAGAAATTTGGCATATTTCGCCCGGTATCACAAGCTGTCCGTGTAAGTGAGAGTGCGTCCAACACGAAAGCAAATCGCCAAACATGCCCAAAAGAATAACCGAAAAAGAAAAAGAAAAAGAAAAGAGAGCACCCCTTTTGTCGAAAGAGGAGAAAAGAAAAGAAAAAAAATACCCCCAAGGCAGCTTATCAATCAATCATGCCTCACACCCCGCTGCAACCGCCTCATCGCATCACGATGCGCCTCCATCAACGCCCCACTGCGCATCCTTAGCTCAAACTCCCGCTGCCCAAGCTCCAGCTCATGCCTCTCCGTCTCGCGCCTCTGCGCCTCCGCCTCCTTCTGCCCGAGCAGAAAGTTGCGCTGCACCTCAATATGCCGCTGGATATCCACTACACCACTACTACTACTATCCCGGCCGTATGCGCCGCGCAGGCTGCTCATCGAGGTACTGGGTCCCAGCGGGGTGCTGGACGAGTCGCGAGTGCTGAGGTGTGCAAAGGATGCGCTTGTGCGCAGGTCTGCGGCGACGCTGTTGCGGAAACTGGCGAGTTGGGCTTGGCGCGCTGCTTCGGAGGGGAGATAACTCCGGCGTGGTGGCTGGTGGGAGTCGAATTGAGATAACTCGGCTAGGCTTTGGCGGCTGGCTTTGGAGGCGAGGTTGAGGCTGCTTTGGCGGATCATGAGGCGCCGCTGCGAGAGGGGGATGTCGTCGGCGTCGAGGGGTGAGTTGTTCTGTTCACCGCTGATACCGGAGGTGAAGATGGGGTAGTTGTTGAGACTTCCGGAGTCTGAGCCGTGCCTGGAGTCCGGTCTGGCGGCGTCTATGTTGCCCATAGCGGCGTCGGCGGCGGAGGGCCCCCAGGTTCCTGATAGCTTGTTGCGGAGGAGCCTCTCGCGCATGCCGATTAGTGTTTGTGGTGGTTCGTACGAGGCCACCCCTTGTGTGGTCGGATACATGGATAGGTTGGGAACGGAGACAGACGTCGACAGCTCGCGTTGCAGAGGTTGGGGAGACATGGGTCGTGCCGCTGCAGGGCCGCTGTCCGTTGTTCCTTGCTTCGGGGTGCGATATGACGACTCGACATCCCCCTCTTCGGCGATGGGTTCCGCAAACATCAGCGAGCTCCGTCCCCTCAGAGTCCCGGACATTGAGCGATATGGTATCAACCTGTTTCGAGAGAGAGGCTCGGGGGTTCCGGCGACTTGCATGGGAAAGCCTGTCGCCTCTTGGAAGCCTGACAGCGAGGCTCTGGAGCTACTTCTCGACACCATGTGTGGTTGGGTGGTGTAGTTGGACGTTGCGCTGGCTGATCTTGGAGCCGCACGAGCCGGCGTTGCGTTTTCGGCTGTCTGCTGGAGATCGACGACATCCAACGGAGCGGGTTCCTCGTTCATAACATGCGAGCCGGCTTCTTCAGGCTTCTCATGCACATGGAGGGTATCTGGCTCGGGGGTTTCGGCGACGCTGAGGTGTTTGGCCCACTCGTTGGTCCGGTAGGACAAGGCAACCCGCGACAGTGACCGCGGTAGGTTTCCCCTAGTGAGACTCGCCGCGATGGAATCAACAGAAGCGACGGATCTCGGCCGTTTGCTCGACTTCGCATCCGACTCATGCGTATGTGTTAGCTCGGGGGAAGCCAAGCTGATCTCTCTCTCCTCCGCATCCGCCCCGGCTTTGCTCCCTTGCTCGGCAGCACTCGCCCTCCGTGACTCGTTGCTCGCTGCTTGAACAATCGCTGGAAGACCGGTAGAAGTGGTGAGAACCGTGTCTGCTGCCGACATTTTCCTGTCTGTGCCCGCCAGCGACCCGATCCCTAGCTCCTTTTCGATCTGCTCTGCCAACGGCATGTCTGCCGCCCCCTCAGCCTTGCCGTCTGTGTCGAGATCCATGTCAACGTAGCGCGGGCTTTTCCATTCCCTCACGCTGTCCAGATCCTCTTCACTGCTCATCTCGTCCAGATTCCCCGCGATGGAGTCCGTCTCGTCCTTCACGCTCAACGCCGGCCCAATCAGCCCCTCGTAGCTATCACCAGCCGGACCCCCACCCTCTTCCATCTTGGGGGGTGACGAGCGCTGGGAGAACCGTCTGAGGAGCTCCGCTGAGCTGTTCGACAGTCTCCTCACCATGTTACCGGCTTTTCCGTCTCGAATCTGTGCCATGAAGTCGGGTTCGCCGTCATCCTCGTCGGCAAATGTTGCGACAGAAGACCGGTCGTCATTCTCTCGAGTCTTGGGAATCGTGAATGGTAACGGGACGATGGCCGGAGACGGATTCACCCCCTGTGAGTTTCGCCTCCACAATGATGTGATTGACGACACACGCTTCATCTCAACTTTCTCTCCGGTTTCTACTTCCTTCTTCTTTTCGAGGGGAGCGTCTCCATCCGACCGAACAGGAAAATCATCCTGACCTACTCTAACTGTGACTCTGCTGCCTTCGTTGTCTTGTGAGAGTGCAGTGTCTGCGCTGAGTGCGTTCGAGGGCGGCGATTCGGTGGTTCCATCCGCAGTATAGATGGCGATTTCACTGCCTCCTATTTCAGTTGTAGACAAAGCTCGTGTCGTAGTGGTTGTCGAAGCTCCCTTGCTATGCCTCAGACGCTTTTCGCTCTCCAAATCGCACACCCCTGAATCTGTAGAGTCAACTGGGCTAATTGAGCCGTTCCCATATACCCGCTCCCACTCACGGCGCTCACGCGTAGTCATCTCCTCAACCTTGCGCCCGACGTTTTCCTCTTCAGCTCGCAAAGCTCGCTCACCAAGGGCAACCTCTGCGTCATGCTTATCCCTTCGCTCCTTGATAATGCGCCATAGCTTTAGCTGGGAAACGATGCCCGAGAGGAAGATGAGTATCGTGACTGCTATCTCCACACGCATGCCACGGGTTAATGGGTACGTTTCGGTACCGAGGGGGAAAAGGTTGTCGTTGAGCGCCCAGAGATATGCCCAAAACTCCTTGTATCCAGCTCGACTGAAACAATCGATACCAAGCACGGCAGCGGTCGCTCCAGAAAAGCAGTTGCAGGCGATAAGACTGTAGGCGCGGGTCCAGCGGGAGAAGTACATGGCAAAGCCCACAATAGTGAACGCTGCAATGAAGCCGACCTTTCCATCAGTTGTCTTGATAAGCCCGCCAGCCTGTAGCGTCAATAGCCACATACTGAGGCAGAACCCGCCGAGAAGACACCCGAGGCACTCGGCAATCTCCTTGAATATAATCGCTAGACCGCCAAGGATCAAACCGGTGCACACGGCAGCCACGACGTATGCTCCCTGGATCGGGTTGGTGACTGGCGGAACCATGACGTAGATGATAAGGACCGATGTCCCCAGGCTCGCCAGGAAGGCTGTAGAAAAGAAGGTATGCAGCCATTTGGTTCTAATTCCAACCATGGCATAGACGACACCCGCGCCGAGGAGGACCACACCTGCCACAGCCCAGCCAGGCGTAATAGAGGGTTCGAGAGGAAGTTGACCAGCAGGAATCGATGCTGTTCACCAATGTCAGACACCAATCATCCCAATAGCGCTTCACTGCTCTTCAGGTCA